TAATGTTGATTTTGGTAGTGTAGCTGGTGCAAAACAAAAAGGTATTTTCTAATTAATATTGAGACTGATTTAGCATACTTTAAATATAAATACTAATTAAGATTTAATTTTAGATGTTGACGATGCAAATAGTGTTAAAGATATTTATGGTAAAAATTCTCAAGTATCAGATAATAATAAAAGTATTAATAAAACTTGTGAAGCAACCATTGCTAATAAAAAAAATAAAAGCATTGATGAAAATGCTGATGAACAAATTAAAGATACGGATACAGCAGTTTACGTACAACCGATGATTGTGGGAGAATTCGACCATACTTATGATCTTCGAGAACAAATAGTTGTTACTTTTGATGAAAATATTCCCGTTGGTGAAAAAATAGATATTCAACTTGACGATAATCAAGAGATATCAGCTATTATATTCCCAGACTCGGAAGAAAGGACTGCTGCTGAAGAAGAAAAAGAAGGAGAACTTGATTCTTTTAAAGGTTTCACTAATGAAGAACAAATTGAGGTTGCACAAGTTGATGAGGGCATTGAAGAACAAGCTATCAATGCTGCCGATCAACATCATAATACTAAAGGTCATATACTTGATCAGGGTAATTACGTTTCTGGGAAAGGCAGTAATTTAATTGTTAAAGATAGTGATAGCAGTATTGAAAAACCAAAAAAGTATTTTAAAAATAATCCTCAAGTGCCAAATAAAAATAAGATTATAGTAGATAGGAAAGATAAAAGTTTATCTTCACGTAAGAGGTCTAGATCTCAAGACATTCATGATGTTAGTGAAGTAAGCAACGTACCTGCTGTTAAACAAGATGAATTTAAACGCCGCAAATCAGGAAAGACTAAAAAGTCTAGTCTTGATAAAGTATGTGAAAATTTTAATCACGATGTATCTCAGGAAGATGGTGTTGTTAACTCTGGTAACAGCATTGAAGTTCAAGCCGAAGTTCATGTTAGGGAACGGAGTCCAGAATATTCTGAACCAACTTCAAAAATGATTGGATTAAATAATGTAACGCAAGGAGGAGTAAATAGAAACAAATCTCAAAATATGAATAAAATTAATGTACAATCTAAAATTGCTGATGATTTTGATCAAATATTGAATCTAGAGGATGACATAGCAATTGAAGTAGCCCATAATATTGAAATATTACCTGATGATGCACAGAGTGTTGACTACACTGTTGGTATACCAGACGATGATATTCAAAGCTCGAGTGATAATACCCAAGTGCCTCAAAACAATTTAGCTTTAGTGGTAGATGATAGTAATAAGGAGTTTAATCAAAAAAAGAATGGTCGTATTAATAAAGTGAATAAAGATACGAGATTGAAAAATTCAAAATCTAAATCAGTTGTTGATGATGATAATGACGACGAAGAAGAAGAAAAAGACGGTGATCAATTGCCAAAAGACAGCATTACTAAAAATAACAAGGTTTTGCTTAAAAACAAGAATAAACCTCGGGGTGTTGTAGCAGTTAAAAAGAATGTTAAAGTCAAAATCTTGTCTAAACGTAAATTGAAAGATAAAAGTAAATTTTCGTTCAAGAAACTAAAATCCAAGAAAAAGCCGCCCACCTATGACGAATCTACTGAAGATGAGACTGAGAGCAGTAGCGATGATGATACATCAGACATTGTCCAAATCAAGAGATCGAGAATAAAACAATTGTCGAGCACCGATGAAAACTTGGTAGACCGCACAGTGAAAAATAATAACAACAATAAGAAATTAAATAAATCACAGCGTAGAAAGTCCAGTCCAGTACGTCCTTCTAACTCTGGTAAAATGAGGAAAAAACTATTCTGTAAATACTGTGACAAATTTTTTCTGTACCGTCTACCGTTATTCAAACATGTACAACAACACCATCTTGACGTTAGTGAAGATTCAGACACGAACAAAAATATAAAAACTCGTCGTCATTCCTTACCTGTCAGCCAAATTCTTTATAAAAATTGTTATGTGATCTTGAATCGAATGTTATATAAAGATAATGAATTATATAATTAAAATTTATAACTGTTCCATTAATTATATTTAACACTTTTTATAATGCAATATAGTTAAAAGTGTTTTTTGTTATGCTCAATTATAAAAACATTTAAAGCAACTTCTAGAACTTTTTTCCATTGCTTGACGTATAGAGTACTTGGATGATATTAAAATTTTTTTTTTTATTAATTTTGTTTTTTTTTTTTCTTTTATAATAAATTTATATGCTTGTACTTAAATATTTATAATTAATATTTCTATGAAAATAAATATATTTTCACCAAATGTAAACTTGTTTCATATAACATAATAAATCAAATCTTAATTTCAATTTACCGACTAAAATTATTTTTATTATATGATACTAATTAACAAAAAAAATGGCCCGATTTTTTTTTAATAAATTACTGTAACAATAAAATATTACACTTAAAAGTTTTCAAATTTTAGCGGTTAAACATTTTTAAAATTCTTTCAGCAAAATTATTTTTGACAAAAAATTTTCGATTTTAACTAACTTTAGTATTAATAATTTCGCCATTATTCACACAATGAAATTTTTTCAAGTTAAATGATAGATATACAGATAAATTGTGAACGTTATTTATAATTATCAGTTCAAAAATTTTGGCTTGAGCGACATCACCCGGTCATTAATTTTGTTTCGTATATTTATATTGGATTAAATAAAAATAAAAGTAAACTGTTTGCTGAACCTAGTCAATTGTTGAAGTAAAAAAAAAACAAACATCAATGGAGAACTTAGATGTCATAATCAACTCGCATAAGATTTGTCGAATTTGCTTGAAAGAGTCAAATAACTTGTCGCCACTCTTTTCAAATGACCAAGAGCAACCTAAATATCCAGGCTTGGCAGAAAAAATACGAGAGTGTGGTGATATTAAATTGTGTGAAGGTAAAGAGTATTTCGGTGTTTGTATCCTACCATCTATGATTTGCGACACGTGCATCGAGAATGCAAAGATATCGTATAAATTTCGTCTGCAATGTCAATATTCAGCGAAAAAATTACAGCTGTATTACGAGGAGTTAATTCAAAATAACCTTGAAGTATGTTTCGAATATTTATTACCTAAAATAAAATTTATTTAACAATAATTTAATTATTATTCACGGTTTTAGATGATTCGCAGTCAAGTTAATACACCAAATGACAGCCAAGATTTATCAAAGTTTACAGAAGACATTCAGAGTTCAGAAGAATTTGATGACAATAAAGAAGATTTGTCAGCTCAAGATAAATTGAGTTCTGGAAATCAAGTCATCTTACAACAATTTCTGGATCTAACACAACTTGATCTTTAAGTTTCGTTAATTTTTGTTTTTTTAAGTTTAAAAATTTTTTTTATAATTGATTAAGTTTCTAATTCCATTACATATATGTTTATATTTAAGGTTATAATGATAAATCATTATTAATATTAAATACTAGAATACATACAACGTTATAAGTTACGTGTATAGGCAGCTCATATCTTTTAGGTAAGTAATTGAATTTTTATTGAATTATATATTTATGCCAGATTTACACTCTGACGTATTTCATAGAATCAATCAAATTCAAAGCTTAGTAAAGATATTTAATATTTTACATATATCCAGTCCCAAATTAATTTCCTTGTAATCGTTAAATTAATGAGCTGTCATTGGTATTTATTAGGATTATTTTTTAATAAAAACATTATTATTTAATAAAGTTTTTAAAATTTATGTGGGTGACGAAATTTTTCAACATATATTCTATTCTTTATCAACTATAAAAAAGAAAAACATGTTTCTTTTTATTATTGAAAAATCGTGTTGAAGAAATTTTCAGAAATTGATCAAATTTTTTCCTATAAATATTAACAATAGATAATGTTTGAAAAAGATTCGTAGTTGTAGATGCAAATTTTAGACTAAAATATTATTGTTAACTGTTTGATAATTATTCGGTGGTTATTAATTTTTATACTAATATCATTGAATTGAACAATAATTTGTCAAAACTTATCGGTATTTAGTTTTAAATGTCTTTATTCTAAAGCAATATTGTATTTACGCAGTATCTATTTTGGACACGAAGACAGTAATGATATTACTAAATTCAAATTAAGAAACCGTTAAGTCGATCAATCATATTAGAGATAGAAATTATAAACTACTTGCGTTAATAAATTTTGTTGTGGAATTACTTTACCATTATTAAACCTAAAGAAAAGAAAAGGGTAATAATTTTAAATTAAATACTAGTATATAAAAAATAAAAGTAAATTAGGGAATGAAAAGATATATCTATCTAGTTTTTACTTTTATTCCATTATAGTTATTTGAATTAAAATAAAATTCGGCTAACACTTTTCCACACATTTGCTTTAGTTTTTTAATTTTGAATCTGTGACTAGATTTAAACAAAGGCTCTGAGCTATTCTATACATCATTTCGGAAGATATCTATGCTAATCATTATTTATTCTAACAATATAGGTAATTCAAAAAATATTTTAGTGATGGTAGAAGCAATTTTTAGCCTAAAAAATTATTATTGTTAACTACTCTCTGCTTATTCAGTGGTATTACTACACAGAATTGAAAAAATTTTACCGACCAACATTTAATTTTTGTGCAAATGTTTATGAATTGAAACGAAAAAAGGCAAACACGATGAATTTAATATAAACAAGTATTATTTGAACTGGTAAAAAAATTTGTGCTAATTTTTAGTAATTCTTGTATTTTAGTAGTTCTAGAATTTGCTTAAATCTTTGTTGTCTTGATTTTAAGGGTTTTTCAATAGCAGAAATTCTACTCTCGAGATTTTTCATTACGAAGAATAGAAAATTCTATAGAGCGTATTTCCATAGTTATGGTAGTTCTTCAGGTGCACGTTTCATTTTTTTTTAAGATTAAGTTATCTGGTTGCAATTTTCGTAATCACCTTTTAGTACGAAAAAATGTGAAGAATTGTCTCAGATATTTATGGCGTTATGTATCATTTGGGCATGTACAAAGGTATATGCAATACAATAATATATAAGTTATTTTATATAAAAATGTATACATCTATATTCATATTCAAAAAAGTTGCTACACATTAGCGACATCAAGTGATTATTTTTTTCCCTATTATTCGTACCCAAGTGCTTGTCAAAAATAGTGCTATTTGTATCGACATATTTGTTTGTATATATATAGACATAAATGACATAAACCTAAAATTATTTTTAATTGTAAACAAATAAACAAAAAAAATACAAATATGCAAGTGTCAACATTAAAAATAAATAAAGTTTGTCGTATTTGTTTAACAGAAACTAATGATCTAATATTGCTTTTAATTAATCAAGAAAAAACAGAATATCCAGGTATATTAGAAAAAATACAAGAGTGTGGTGGAGTTCAGTTAAGCGAAGAATATGGAACACCTATTTTTATTTGCAACAACTGCATTGATAATACTAAAATAGCATATAAATTTCGACTTCAGTGTCAGTATTCCGAGACAAAACTTCGATTACTACATGAAAAATTTATCCAGCAACGTATTCAAGTAAGTATGAAACAATTAGATCAATATGACTATTTCTATTCACAAAAACAATATAATTTATCTCATAGAATTAATTATTACATATTAATTGTTTACTTCAATTAATTTTAGGTATCACATCACCAGCAAAACTTAACAGAAACTTCAAACTCATCAACAGGAAGCCAAAACTCATCCAAATTAATAATCGATGAAGTTATTTCAACAAGCGAAGATGGAAATTGTTTAGATGTTCCTTTACAAACTGATGAAGTCAAAAAAGAAAACAAAAAAGTTGATGATGGTAGTTCAATTTCAGATCAATTTGAACGTTCTGATGCTGGAAGTATAAGTGAGAACAAATGTGTCAAACGAAAATACAATCGTAAAAAAATTCAATGCCAACGATGTTCTGAAATTTTTATTAGTCAAGAAACTTTGGCTCATCATTTGTTCAATAATCATGGTGAAAAATATAAGTGTCTATGGTGTCCAGAGACTTTTGATACTTTAAAGTTGATGAAAAGTCACAAAGTGACCCATGATCTTCGAGATCGTCGTAGACGGCGAAGTTATAGTCGATGTAGTAATGAGTCAGCCAATGGAGCTACAATAACTGTTAACAAAAAAAAATTTCGCTCTCTTCATGAAGATAATTATGATCATCAACTTTGTATTGACAATAACAATGATGATAAAAGTAATTCATCCACAAATACTGTAAATTTTGTCGAGAATGAAGATTATCAAGAGTTTAATAAAAAGGACAGTAATGAAGGTGCTTCTAAAAGTAGCCGGACAGCTAATAATCAATCAATTGGAAGTGAAAATAGTCAAGTTGTTGAGAAAAATTATGGACCGCCCAAAGCAACCACAGGTGACATAGAATTAAATGATGGAAAAAATATAAAAAAATCTAAAATTTGCTATCATAAAATACGACTTAAGAATTTTATTTTACATAAATGTGAAATATGTCGTCGTAAATTTGAAAACATCAGAAAATTGAATCGACACATACGTAATCATATTTCAAAACATATTTGCAATTTATGTAATCAAGCTTTTGTAAGCCAAAGAAAGGTTGATAAGCATAAAAAAAAGGATCATTGCGCAGATAAAATAGATATTGACGAGTCAAGAATTTGTTTTTTCTGCAACAAAGTGTTTGCGTCCAGTCATCAACGTTTTAAACACGAAAAAAAAGTGCACTGGGAACTGGAAAAATAATAATAATATCAAAATACTTTTATTTTTCTTCATTAGTTCTTGAAGCAATTCTATATCAGAAGATTAATAAAAAAAAAATAATTCGGAGCTGTAGAGATTTTTTCCGATACTTCAGAACTTTTTTTCATACATTATTGCTCATACTTGTTAATTTATCTGTAAGATTGTGAAACAATCATTATATTAATTAATTTATTCTAATAATGATTTTGTGTTAAAATATCAATTTAGACATGTGATTAACAAATTTGAATTTATAACAATATTTGATTTATTTTAAATGTTTTCTAACATAGTTAAAAATTATTGTATTAAGAATATTTATAAGTTGTTTAATTAATGCAAAATCTGAGTTATCTATAATATTTTTTATTTATTTTCTAGACAAATTAATTTATAATATAAAAATGAGGAAAAACTTTTTTTGAGACTTGAAACAGTGACTTTCGCAATCACTCACTTATTTTTTGATTTTTTATTATTATAAGTGTTGTTTTTTAATTAATTTCATAACAACGTACTAAAATTTTATTTAATTGAAATAAAATTCATTATTTTTTATGTTTAAAACAATAATTAATTATAATTACAATAATGATTATTTTATAAGTTTGATGTTGTTTTTTGTTATTCTTTAAAATTTTAAATCAATGATATATTGATTTTGAGTGGTAATTAAAATTTTTATTCCAATGACTCTTTCATACGTTTACTGTTATTCTGTAAATACAAAAAAGAAAACTTTCAATTATTAAGTTAATTATGAAAAAAAATATGATTGCAATCGCTTCAATTAATTGTGTGGTAAAATGCAAATCGATGTTTTATGATGTAACCAACAATTCCAAAGTTATAATGCAGTTAACATATGATCATCGAATTTTGTATTATTTAAAGTAAGAAACTTAAAATATAAAACTCAATTGTAGTTGTTGAAAAAATAAAAATATATTTATAAAAATATGAAACTTGATCTAATACATTACGTTGCAATTTTAAAATGAACTTGTCTTTTATTTAATCGCGATATTAATTATTGAAATTTTAGCTACTGCAATATCTCATGAAGAAATAAATATTTTAAATATCTTTACTCTAGTCATAATTTTTTTCTATAAATATTAAACTATAATTTTTGAAAATGATCACGATGTAACTTTAAATATTTAAAATGCCAACAAATATTAGTTTACCACATTTCGTTGTACATTTGTAAATCTCAAGCATACGAAGTGTATATATATATATATTAGGGTGTGCCAAAATGTAACTTCCTTGATGGACCTCTTAAAATTAGAATTTTGAGTTCCGCTTTTAACAGGAGTTGTGTGTTGGGCATTTTCTGACATATTTTGAGCGTAACGGATTTATTTGATTTTTATAGAATTTTTTATCAGGAGTTTTGTTCGGTCATTTTTGCTGGAATTTAAAAATTTCAAAATTTAGCCGAACAAAACTCTTGTTAAAAAATTCTCTAAAAATCAAATAAATCCTTTACGCTCAAAATATGTCAGGAAATGTCCAAACACAAAACACAAATCCTGTTAAAAGCGGAACTCAAAATTCCAATTTTAAGAGGTCCATCAAGGAAGTTACATTTTATATCATTCGTACAAAGTGTAGAAAAAATTGAACGATACAATGGAACATTGTAATCACATAAATGCTAATCGTTAAATATCCGTTAAATTTTATCAATTATAATATTTTTTTATTGCCTTTGAATTTTATAAATATTCAAAATTTCAAGACACATAATAGAAATAGTTAAAATTTAGATTTGTCAAATAAAAATTAAATAATGTAAGTTGACTATACATTGAGAGTCGAGTTAACGTCTTAAATATATTAGTAACTTTTTTGTATTTAAAATTTTACTAAATCGTTAATGTTTGAATAAACGATTTAATTGTATTCGTCTTATTAGACTCGCCTTGGAATTAGAATTAACAAAAACAGCCGATTAGAAACAAAAATTAAACTGGAAACAACTGATGTTTTCTAAATATTAAAATTAAAATTCTCTGTTTGAGTTAATTTTTTTTTGTTTTTTTTTTTTTAATTTCTCACAAATTAATTATTAAGAAAATTTTTTCTACAGTCAGGGTTTTTTTTCGTGTGACGATTTTATCATCAACAAAAAAATATAATTTTGAATGTAATCGACATCTGATAGTTTATAGTAATTCATTTATTATATAAATTGTTATAAAAAAATTTTTTTTAATCTATACGTGGATTTAAATGAATTTATAAAAAATTATCGGGTGCCTACTGGTTTCAGTATCATGAATTAACATGGTGACAGTAAAATAATTTTTACTGGATATTTAATAATTATTTCTTAATGAAATATTTTTTAGAAAAAAATATGGAATATTCTTCAGACATTTTTTATTAGAGAATTTAAAAATTACAAGTGTCTATTCAGACGCAAAAAAGTCCTGATAAATCCACGCCATAAGGGCATTATCATTCACGCGACGTGGATTTGTCAGGACTTTTTTACGTATGAATAGACATGCCCTTTAAAATTTCGCGCGTTTTTAAATGCACCAGTAACGCCATCCCTAGTTCATTTAATATCAAATAATCACAATAGAAGTGTTTCATATGTATGCGTGTGTAATATAATATTTTATATATATACATAATAATATATACCTATACATTTTATTCGCTGAAAACCGAGTCCATTTTATTTGTTTTGATTATTTCAAATATACAATAAGAATCAAAACAAACGTGTATACATAATAATGGAATATAAAGTGTCAAACTTGTTAGTGAATATTGATAATATTTGTCGTGTATGTTTGACTGAAAATGCTAATTCACTGTCGATATTTTGTCAAAATGAAACAGATGAAAAATATCGCGATCTTTTAAATAAAATTCAAGAGTCCGGTGGTATTAAAATCACCGAAGATGATGGTTTGCCGACACTTATTTGCTCTAAATGTATTAATAATATCAACATTGCATTTAAAATTCGTCAGCAATGTCAACGCAGTGATACCCTGCTAAGATTATATTATAAAAAATTAAAAGAGTCTAACCTCAAAGTAAGTCAAATATTTTTTTTAAATTGTTTACCATGTTTAATTTTCTAGCTCTTATTCATTTTATTTTTTAATTGCTAGACAATACATTATCAAGAAACTCTCCAACCAGAGTTAATTACGCCAGATATTTCACAATCCAGCCAAGATCTGTTTAACTACTTAGAAATCCAATGTATGGACGTCGAAGAAGTTGTTGTTGGTCAAGAAGAGGTCCCAAGTGTTGAAAATGCTGGAATGATTGACGACGAACCACCGTCCTACAAATTAAAATTGCAATTACTTGAGATTGGAAGTACAACGAGCAGTTCACCGATTGCAAACTCGCCAAGCTCGCGTACAAAAGCTCAGAGTAAAGTATACCCCGAGCACCTAGGAGCTTTTGAGACTCTAGCTTTTGATCCCCTTCAATTGCCGAGTGATAAAAAATATACCTGTTCAATCTGCGCTCAGGCGTTCGAGTCATTAAAAATATTAAGACAGCATCGAAAAATTCACAAAAATGAATTATATGTTTGTAAAATCTGTCCTGTGCGTTGTTCTAAGGCTGAAGAGCTGGCAATTCACTTGAAATCGCATCAACTGACCCAAGCAGCAGTCGCAACTATTCAAGTAAACAATCACGACAATTCCAAAGACTGCAATGACTCCGATATGGTCGACAATCAGCAAAAAATTGATCATAACAATGAACAGCCACTCCGTGGCAAGTCACCTGACCTTCAAAATAATACCACTAACCCTTTTAAAAATTCTATGATCAAAAGATTATCAACTGATAATATTAATACTAATAATAGTAATAGTAATAGTAATAGTAATATTAACAGCTCTAATAGTCCTATCATTCATAAATGTGAGATTTGTGGGCAAATATTTTCAAAAGAAAAAGGACTGATGCGGCACCGCGCTTATCACGAATCACGAGTTATTTGTGATATTTGTGGTAAAGTTTGCTCTAATCAAAATTGGCTCGAGTCTCATAAAAAATTAGCTCATAGTGGGCATGCTAAGTCTGAAAAAAATACATGTTCTTATTGTCAAAAAACATTTTATTTTAGTGCTCATTTGATATCGCACTTGAAAAGAGTACACAGAGCTTTTTAGTTAAAAAATTTTTAGATTTCATACTTTTTTATATGCCGGTTATTCTTTATTTTCATTGAGTGTAATACTAACATTAATTGATACATTATACATATATATTTATATATATATATGGATATTTAAAATTAAGAGTTTATGTTCAAAAATATTTATGAGTTTTATATGACAAGCAATCGCCTGTAATTAATATTTAAATTTACTATTAAATAATGATTATTCAGGTTTACTTTTAATTGTTAATACTAAAAATTAGATGAAATATTTTATTTTATCAAAATATTATTTTAAAATAATAAATATTCATAGAACAAAAATATGATGCTTTATGTTAATTTAATTATATTAGCTTTTTATTACTAAGTAAGAGAAGTAAGCTACAAATTAGTTATAGAAATAGGTTTTAAGTGTTCTGTCTTGTCGTGAAATAATTTTAAGAGTCTAAAAATAGGTATTTTTTTTTATAAATAGAAAAAAGAATAACAAAAAGTACTTCGTGTTATGTTTAAATGTTGACAATTAACCAACATATTCCGAAAAATTATATCATTCATTTAAAAAGATTTGTTTAATAAATTTTTGGTTGATAAACTTGTTTTGTTTTTGTTAATTTAAATTAAATAAATAATTTTCTTAATTCAATTAAGAGTTGACAGCTGTATTTAAAAAATCTAGCGGCAAAAAAGTCGATAAATTATCAACTGATAAAAAGTAAACTTAGCGACATCACACGTGCATTATCATCATATGCATTCATATATTACTGTTGTTATTATTACCACACTAATATATGTATATGTATATACATATTTTTTTTTCTTTTTTTTTTTTTTTTTTTTCAATGAAATAAAAAGATTGTTCTCAACTTGCAAAAGTTTATTCGCGTACAATTCGATCGTGGTTCAGTTCACGGTTGCTCAAGAAAAAAAAAAATAAAGAAAAAAAACATTGAGGCTCAGGGAAGCCATTGAACAAAGAAACGAACCAATATTTTTTGGATGTGAATTGACAATGGAGTCAACTATTAATGTGATGTTGAAAATTAATTGAATATTATGGTAATCTTCAATGTAAATGATTGAGTTATCAAATAAAAAGTACCACGAGATGTAATACAAGTATATCACTAATTGGATTATCAACATTTGTGGGTATGAAAATCAGGTATTGTTAGGTTGAGAACCATTTTGTTTTAATTATTTTTTTATTGTCAATTTTTAAAAATATTATTGTTATTATTTAATTATCAGTTATTTCATACAAAAAAAAAAAAAATATTTTGTAACTATAAAAATAATACGAGATTTTTTAATTTATATTTATGATATATTTTTTTTTATTTTACAGGTAAAATAGATATTTTAATAAAAAATATCATAATGACCGAGTGCTACCTGGATTTCGATAGAGTTTGTAGAATATGTTTAACAGAATCAACAAATTTAACGTCATTGTATTGTAATGATTCGGTACCAGGTGTATTTCCAAGTTTATCACAGCGTATATCAACATGTGGGGCTATTGAGCTTAATGAAAGAGACGGATTGCCATCGTTAATTTGTGAGAATTGTATTTATAAAGCAAGTGTAGCTCATGATTTTCGTGAACAGTGTCAGAATTCAGATGCACGATTACGTTTATGTTACGATAAACCAGCTCGTCTACAATCAAATGTAATTATTTAGTTTAAAAATTTTTTTATAATACTTTTTGAAGTATTTGCTATTATCGTTTAAAATTCATAATTATAGTTAAGGAATTTTTAAGTTGAATTTCTGAAATTAAACTTTAGTTAATTCATTTTAATTTCAAAAAAATTTACAAAAATTGATATAGGTATATATTAAGCTTTCAATTTTGGAGTATCAATTTATTGGAATTTCTAGAGTTTCTACAGATTATTAAAAAATTTTTTAAATTAAAAAATTAAATTTAATGTTTAAATATGAATATTTTAAAAGGGATATTTAAAAGAATAACATTTTTAAAATATTAATTTTACATTAAATTTCAAACCTTTTTTTCAAAATTTTATTTATAGTTTTTTTTTAATCTGAAAGAAAACTATTATTTATTCCTGATGCTGTTTTATTTCACATTTCATTATATATTTGTTATATTAAAATAGTTACAGGACTCCAGTACGCAAACAGAAGTTGAAGAGAGAACGATGGCTAAAAATATAAATTCAAATTATTTTGTAAAACAAGAAATTCAAGGGTTTAATCAAGATTTAAATACAATAGGTGTTTACCAAAATCCCCAAGTTGAAGTTACAAGCAATCAAATAGTTACTGACGATAAATTATTCCTATGTAATATTGACTACCAAACGAAAGAATTAGAAAAACAGCCGGTGCTTGAATCGACTCAACACCAACTCCAACATCAACATCAAGAACTCGATCATCAAGACATTCAACATCAAGTATTAATACCAGAGCAGCAACAAGTTTCTATAGCAGTTGCTATTGAAACAGAGCAACAATTACCAAATTCTGTTACAATGGCTGAAATGAAACCAGCGGTTGGACAATACGTGGACAACGAATTGTTGGTTAATAACGATGACAGTGTTGAAGACGAAGATCTTGAGGATGAAGAAGAAGAAGAAACTGAAATTCCAGCTGACGGATTTAACAAAGATCAAGATATTTCGATTGATTTACACGAACCTAAATGGGAAGAAGAATCAGAGGAATTAGTGCCTAGCAAAAGATTGACACGCAAGGCTAAGGATATTGCCGGTAAATCATACAGCGTTGATGAAATTGACGAAGATTTACCTGATAATAACGATGACGACGACGACGACGACGATAAGCCGAAATTCAAGTGTAAAGTTTGTTCGAAACGATATAACACATCGAAAGGCTTGAAAAATCATGCCCAAGTTCATGATAAAAAACACAAATGCCACGTGTGTTTAAAGTCATTTTACAACCTTGAGAATATGGAAAAACATGTTAAAATTCATGAAACTAAGCCTCATGCGTGTCAACTGTGCCATACATGTTTTGCTAAGCCGCAGAGCTTAGTTCGGCATCTCAAGAGTCATTCGGATAAAATTCAAGGTAGCAATAATAATAATAATATAAAGAGCAATGAAAACGGAACAATAACGATCGTAAGAACTGAAGATACCGAGGATGACGATGACGATCGTGACGGTTTTCAGACAAATGAAGCCGATGAATTCGACAGTGCGCCTGGTCTTTACAAGTGCAGTGAATGCAATCAGTTTTGTTCGACTTTGAAGAATCTCAAAAGACATTCATTGATTCACGGTGATAAAAAATATTCCTGTACTGTTTGTAAAAAATATTTCTTCCGACCAGATACGCTGAAAAAACATGCTGAAAAACATGGTCACGGTTTACTGGACAATTTGTCAGACGAGAACAAATTGTATGAGTCCGACGACGAGACATTCAATCGCAGTAATACGCTGGCTAATAATATCAACGGCAATGGGACCAATGATACTGATAATAAAAAGGTTGACAGTGATGAAGACGGTTCTGGGGAGTACAAGTGTCAACATTGCGACAAAGTTATGGCAACTAAAAAAGGATTAAGACGGCATGTGTCGATGCATAAGCCAAAAGCAGAGCCAGTAACCTGTGAAATTTGTAAAAAAGTGTGTGCTAGTCAAGCTAGACTGGTTCTTCATCAAAAAACACACAGTAAACCTAAGGAAAAAATACCGCGGGAATATCTCTGTCATATATGCAGTAAAGTATACCCAAGCAATTCATCACTGACCTATCACATGAGGACACATACTGGAGTAAAACCGCATGTGTGTCAAACATGTAACAGCGGTTTTACAACAACGACCAGTCTCGCTAATCACATTCGAATCCATACTGGTGATAAACCCTTCGTTTGCCACGTATGTAGTGCTGCATTTGCTGTAAGCTCGGCCTTCAGACGTCACTTAACTCGTCATACCGGAGAAGCCAATTATCTTTGTAAAACTTGCGGCAAGGCATTCAAAAGACTCAGCACACTGAAGGAACATACCTACACACATTCGGGAGAAAAACCTTATGTTTGTAAAACATGTGGTGCTGCTTACAGCCACAGTGGAAGTTTATTTGCTCATCAAAAACGTTGCAGAGTACAGTATGGTGAAATGGTTACTTCTGAGAATAATCATTCGCATGTACCACATCATATTCACGTTAATAATGTACAGACAGCAGTCAGATCACTTGCAGTTATCGGACAAATGTTTTAATTATTTCATTTTATTTTTATTATTATTATTATTATCATCATTTATTATTCACTTATCATTGATAGATTGATATTTTTACAACATTTATTACTGTTGAGAGAATTATTTTACGAAAAAAAAAAAAAAAATTACTTTGCATAAGTATAGTGAAATTATTATTTGAATTTAAATGTCAATCTTTGATTTATGAAAATGATACGATATTTTTAAATTGAGATAGATTTAGTATACGATAAAACTGTAGATATGATATTGTTCTCCATATCGATTCAGTGAGACTGGATTGTATAATTAATAATAATTATAATTATAACTATATTATTTTTTTTTAATATTTAAGATATTACCGAATCGCTGCCTCATCAAATTTATAAACTATTGAATTACGAATATTGTTTTTTACTCAGTTTGAATAATGATGACGGCTTCATGTAGTGATTTTTACTTTAAAAATTTAACAGAGTTTATTCATTTTATTAGAATTTAATTATAATATTTGTAGTTAATATTATGCAGCTTAAAACAATTTATTGTACTGTACAAATAAGTGGTATAATTTTTTTTATACTACAATAATTATAAATGTTTTTTGTAATAGTCATTTTGTAACTCTTGTAGAATTTTTTTTCCAGTTGTTGGAAATTTTATATAAGAAAAAAAGTTTTGATTAAAACTCCGATGTGAGAACGATTACTTTTAATATATAAGTTTTACTGAACAAAAATCATCATTATATGTATACTTTTTTCTATAAAGTTACTTCAATAATTTTTATGACTTATTCGATTTGTTTATTCTGTAGTATAAAAATTTTAATGATAGTCATTGGTATTATGATCTAATTAACATTTTAGAAATTAATTTTTTTTTAAACCAAATTCTTACGCGTTTACATTTTCAGTCTGGCTTTGGATTTTGAATTTCTGAAAAATTTATGAAGTAAAAAGTTTATACAAAATCACACAATACATATTTTAAAACAACAATTTCTTTTATAAAAACAGCTAGCATTTTATAAATCATTTCACTAAAATACCAGCAATAAAAAGTTTGGAAAGTTCAAAAGTCCACGAATCATAATGCTCATTTAATTATGAAATATTAACAAAATGAAGAATGTTAAAAAAATATACAAAACAGCTAAAATAGAACGATAATGCGTAAGCGCTTCTAATAGGATAAATGTACACAATAATATATATAGACATACAGTCTTCTGATTTTTGTTTTATTTGATTAATTGTACATAAACGAGACTGAATTATCCAGCCATTCGCATTCGGTGATCTACAATTTTCTTAAAGAATTAAAAAAAAAAAAATTTAACTCAATTGATGCATTTTTTCGCAAGTTATAGGGTTTTCAGAGTTTCCTACATGACGGACAAGAAAATTTTTTCGACCTATTTTGATGGTTTTTTCCATTTCTAGTGCATTAAATTAATTTTTGAAAAGTGTCAAATTAATCTCCATTAAATTATCTTGGCAATAGTATGCAAAATAAATTGATTCCGTTAAGTAACAAGACTATAATAATAAAAATAGTTGCCGAAATGCTTCGCATTATGAGTCGTGCTAAATGCTTTAAAAATTCAAAAACTTTAAAATTCGCATTACTCTATACTAAATAAAAATTTACTTCACACGACTATTATTCAGGTGTTTAAATTAACACATTAATTTAGTTTTACAAATTTTACAGCACTTGAATAATATTTATTAACTATTATTACTTTAATCGGAATCAGATTCTTTTGAGAGCTTCTGTATCCGTCGCCATACTGATTGCCTAGTTCTGTTTAGTCGTTTAGCTAAAACTACTTGTGGATGCTTAACTGTAGGATCATTTATTGTTTTCAATATGATATTATCTTCTGCTTGAGTATACCTGTAATAAGAAAAATAATTATATGTATTTACTGTTATTAATTCAATTCAGCTCATTCTTCCGAAACAAATTTAAATTTCAGTTTTATTTTTTCAGAAATAATAATTTAATACAAAAATTTCTCATATAATAATTTTGCTTATACAGACATTTGTCAAAATAATAACTCTAAAATAAAATTAAAAAAATCAAAAAAGAATATGTTGACCTAAGAATTGTTGTATCAAAAAAGTTATTATGTGAGAAATTATTAATTAAGATAAGACTAATCATTAATAAATTTACCTGCTTTGCTTGTGAGTCGCATATAAATTTTTAAATCTTCCAAAGATACTGTAAAGAGAACGATTAGGCAACCCATGTGCTAAAAATTGAACGAACTTTCTTCGTTCTTCAACTTTTGAGATGAAATAAAAACCTTTACGTTTCCAGATTGTAAACGGATGGACTAAAGATCTTTTCCAATCATGTTCCTAAATAAGTATGTATAATTAATAACTAATCATTATATGTACATAGCATCTATAATACTAGTGGTGATAACATCCGATTTTAAAAATTACCTTGCAAAATTTTTTCCAATTATGAACAATCCGGCTGTCTTCATCTGGAGAGAAAAATCCAATCTTCAGAGGCGCATATTTTTTAAAACGTTCTTTTTCTTCTTTGCTAAGTGGACGAGTGCCTGCATTTTTTTCTACGTTGTGTTGTGGCAAGACATGGTGAATTAGTTTTACCACAAGATCTGATAGTTGCTGAAATAAAAAAATATATTGACGTTAAACTTTAATTAAAGATTTGAAAAAGTGATGTAAATTCACTAACCTTTGACTCAAGTATATTCAATTGCTGGTACTGAAGTTCATCTTGCTCATCATCAGACTCAGTCATAATTTTCGCAAGTTTAGGGTGTTGCTCAAATATTGACTTATGTCTTCTTTTCCGTGGTAGTGTTTCTTCTTCGTCATAATCTTCATCGTCTTCTTCATCGGAAAGTTCAGAATCTGATATATTTTGTTCCACTTGAATTCTTTGTTTTTCAATTTTCTTAGCGATTGTATTAATTTTCGGCTCTTCTTCTCTCAAGCTTTCTTCACTGCTATTCGAATTATATGAATTCATTTCATTATCAGAATTCGACTCATTATCACTTTTATTATTCAACTCAATTTTTTTTGGGTTCTTAAATTCTTTAACTTTTTCTTCAGTAACAATCTCACCAGATTCAGAACTCGATTTTTTCTCCTTTTTTGATCTTTTCTTGACGTTTTCTTTCGACGAATTCACAGTAGAATCAGATTCCAATTTTTTTTTCTTCTTTTTCAATTTATCCACATGCTCGGTAAGTTCCTGCTTTTCGAATTTAATGTTGCCAGATGAAGGGTCTATATTTTCATCCCTCTGTTCTTGTTCGTTTGATTTCTTAGATTTCTTTTTCTTCTTCTTTTTCTCAATTTTGGCTAAGCCTACAGATTCATCATCCGAAAGAGACTCCACTTTTATCGACATATTTGTTGAAATAAATTCATTAGTTGACTCTTTCACTAGTTCACTGTCCTCAGAACGTTCAATATCATGTTTACGTTTTTTCTTCTTTTTTACTTTATCATTAGTGTCTTCTTGTGAATTCTGATTTTGAATTAATTCATTTTCAGTAGATTCTCGTCGACGTTTATGTTTTTTCTTTTTCAAAGTTTCATTTGTTTCTATTGTATTTCCATTACTACATTCTTCACTATTTGAATTATCAATTTGCATATAATTATCATGCGATTTTTTCTTTTTCTTTTTTTTAACCTCAGCTTCATCATCAGTTGTACTTGGATCAACTCTCTCGAGTTTCAATCTGTTTTTATTTGTAATTTCCGTATTTAAATCACTCTCAATATCTTTCTTCTTTTTCTTTTTCTTTTCTTTTTTTACATATAGTTCATCAGACTGATTATCGACAATGGGTTTTTGTTTTATATTGTTAAAAACTTGATTTTCATCAGAAATATTTTTTTTCTTTTTTTTACTTTTTTGAACTTTTCTATCTTCTTCACTTACCACCTCTTTTGTTATCTTCTTTTTCTCAATATCAAAATCCGATGACTCATTCGTCTCAGAATCAATTACTTCAGTCTTAATTTTCTTTGGAAGTTTAACATCTGTAAAAAAATCATATTTAGAGCAAAAAAATTTGTAAACAAATGGTTTTTTACGTTTAGTTAAAAAAATTAGGGGTAATATAAACTCCTTTAATTTTTTCGGTCAAAGTAGTTAAAATAATTAAAATAATTGTTATTATATTGATTAACAATTTGGACAAATATATTTTTTTTTATTTTTTCAAGTTTTTTACTATACTTTTACTAAATAATTTCATTTTTTACGAGACAATTGAACATTAAAATGATTTTCGCTTTTGTCGCTGATTTTCTCGTACTTTGAAATTAATATTTATTTTAACTCAAAAAAAGTATTCATTGAAAAAAAAAAAATAAACAATACAAATTATTCCGAAGAAAATTGACGATGATTTATTTTTGTTCTTCTAAAAATGCCATATTTTATAATTAAAATTTTTCAGTTGTTCCTATGTTTTTTATATTTACTTCTGGAAATCTTATACCACGAAAAAATAAAAAATGACACTAAAATCAGCAGACACGACCTTTTTTTGGATTTTATATAACGAATATATTAGTTTTAGAATACTATTAAAAAAATTGCATTAATAATTTTTTCATGTCGTAATTTATTCGTTAAAAAATCTTATCAATTATCAAATGTCTCTCAATTTCTGTACTATAAAAAAAATTATTTTCTATTTTTAAAAAAGTCCACAAGTTTCTTACCATTTTCATAATTTATTTTACTTTTTTTGTTATCAGTACATTGGGAGTTCTCCGAGGACAAATATTCTTGGGGCAAAAAACCCGGATTGTGTTTTTTGTCATTTCGTTTTAATTTTTTTTCACTCATCTTTGAATGATTTTTAATTCCAACTATTCCTCAAAAATTGTAATCACCTGTAAAAATTGTTTTACAATCAGTAAAAAAAATTTTTTTGACAATTTAATCTATCAACAGAACACACGTGCTTATGTTTTTAAGGTTACGAAAATATTTGTATAAAATTAATCAACAGTCGATATATTAACGCAAAGTATAATATATGACCAGAAGTTTCCTAAAACTTCCACGAGAAGCCAAGCGCCTGAAAACTATAGAAATTATAATTTTGAGCGGGAATAGTAAAAGTTAGTATTCATATGTATATACACAACCACAATACTTGTATATATATCTGGTGGCCATTGACGCTTTTGTGTAGTTGTCAGAAATAGCTTGGAAAAAAATTACCTGTAAAAAAGTAAGTAGTAAATGTCATAATTGTTATTAAAATATTATTTTAAAGTAACAATCAATATTATATTAATCACTTGTAATTAAACTTTTAATTAAATAGATTAAATAATTGTAGACGAAACGTAGAAACGTGAAAGTCAATAGGAAGCAAGACCAGAACTTAAACATGGCCGATACATCAAAGAATGTTGAAAACTGCGAAGAGGATAATTCAGTCACTATGCTGGATGTTTTGCAAGAAGCAAACCAGCTTGAAGAAGATGCCAATGCTGTATTAGGAGCATCCGATGACGGTAGCTGTACTTATAATAAGGTGAATATATTTTTCTCTTGTTCTTAATAACACTCCATCTTGTTTGGCTTGTAAACTCCTCTCTTTTTTATGTAATATTTTTGTTAAAATATTTAATTGATAATTATTTATGGTAATAGGGCTACATTCGTCAAGCACTCTATGCTTGTAAAACATGCTGTCCTAATGAACAAGACCTAGCTGGTGTCTGTTTAGCTTGCAGTTTTCATTGTCATGAAGGCCACGATCTTGTTGAATTGTACACCAAGAGAAATTTTAGATGTGACTGTGGAAATACTAAGTTTGGAGAAAAAAAATGTTCATTAGATCCTGTAAGTATTTTTTTTTTTTTTTTTTTTTTTTTTTTTAATATCTAATTATCATCAATGGAAAAATTTCAATGGCTTGTTAAGACAATTTGTTTATTATAAATATAATATTGAAGTGACAGACATTGGGAATTTTTTTAAAAATTTTATAGCAATGAAATTGTTATGAAAAAAGTTTAATAGAAAAATTCTACATGTAAAAATTAAAAAAAAAATTTTTAGTGGAAACTTTTTAAAGCATTTTATCATTTTAAGGAGGTCCTTTCGCCGCCAATGTAAAATAAAAAATATTAGATTATGAGTAAATTCAATTTTTTTCTAATAGTTAAGGTCTTTATTTATCTAATAGTGAGGTTTAAATTATACTTTACCGGACAAATTTTTGAAAAAATAAAATTTTTAAATGTTAGTATTTGTTCAGAGTCTTACGAGAAAGTCAGACATTTGCAGTATTTCTCGAATTATACTATCAGTCATGGATTAGATGAAGTAAAAAAAAACTAAAAATTAGATTTTCGAAATATTCAGGTTTCTTTTTTTGCAATAAAATATATCAGTTACCGAGATATTTATTGAGAAATTAATATTTAAAAATCACAAAAAATTCTCAAGTAACCTACGTTAAAATGGAGTCAAAACATTTGGCAACGTTGCGTAGCGCGCGAGCTCCAGACCATTTAATAAATTCAAACTAATTTATTTATTTACACTGACTGCAAAAACTTAAACGTGGTTAAGGTTATATTGTGCAAATGAAAATGTAAACAACCGAAGTACAGCGTTGCCAAATCACGGACAGGTTACTAGCAGTTGATTTGAAAGAGTCAAATTAATTTTTGTATTTAACTATTTTTTTTTTTTTATTTTCAAAATTTCAACGATTAATGCCTCATATACTATTTATTATTTAATTTTAGGAATTTTTATGGGTTTCTTTTTTTAATTTATCGTATATTGACTACTACAATTGTTTTGACTCAACTGGAGCGAAAGGATTTCCTTAATGGATTTGTTAGAAAAATTGTAAACATTGAAATTTGTCAGCTAACTTCAGTATTATATATAATAGTGTTTTTAGTCACATGAAAGTAGAATTAAAATTTGATTTAATGTAGTAAATTTATTTATTTATTTTTTTCATAATAAATACTATATATTTTAGTTATTTACTGAAGCATTATTTTTAAAATTTATTACTGACTAGTTGCTTTACTAAATTAAAAAAAAATTACTTATTTATTTTACGCTACTTACAATTAAATCTATTCCAATTAATCGATTCAATTTTAAAGAAAAATCATTAAAAATTCTGAAATTTATTTGAAATTTCTGAAGCATTTTTTTAAACCTATTTAAAAAAACGAATGAAACGTAGCACACAATTTTCAAAATTGTAAGGAATATTTAAAAAAAATTTGTCGATACTTTTGAGTTTGATTATTTTAAATTACACGAATACAAATAATCTTTATTTATATGAGTACAAATAAAGTAAATAATTGAAATGTGACATCTAGAAATTAAAAAAACTTTTTCTCACCTCCGGGCGGAAAGCGTCAATTTTCCTCTCGCTGCGCTAAACGAAAATGCCGCTTTCCGCCTCCATCGAGGAAAAAAATAGTATACACACCACATGTTTATTGACCTCGGCTTCGCCTCGGACAACAATTACATGTGATCTGAGACATTTCTTATTTTACTTCCTTAGATGTGTAATATACTATATTTGATCCTAAATTTAAAAAATCAGTATTTTAATCTTGTAATTATAATGCAACGAATTGTTTTTTCAATTATCAATTATTAAAAGTATTAATGAAGATACCTAATTCGAATTATTGAAAGTAATTAAAACAAAATTAAAGACAGTTTTTATATTAATTATTTTTTTAATAGTGCAAAGCAGTCGAGAATAAAGAAAACAAATACAACCAAAACTTCAAGGGAGTCTACTGTACCTGTTCAAGACCGTACCCAGATCCTGAAGATACGAGTGATGATGAAATGCTGCAGTGTGTGATTTGTGAGGATTGGTATCACTCCAAGCATTTGGGTAGTCCCGAAGAAGAGATACCCGAGGACGATTCATTCGAGGAAGTTATTTGCAAGGATTGCATGAGTAAGCATGATTTTCTCAGGAATTACGCCGCCAAGTATTCCTCTAGCAAAACAAAGAAGAATTCTGTAAATAACAAAGAGGATGTTGACGTTACAAGCCCACCCTCAGAAACATGTACAATGCCAGAAAAACCGTCCACGGAAAAAACTGGAGCTTGTTTCTGGATTGAAGGCTGGCGCTCATTACTCTGTGTTTGTGAAAATTGCAAAAAATTGTACAAAGAACAACAGGTTAGTTTTCTTCTTGATCCAACTGACAGTGTACAGGCTTACGAGGAAGCTGGCAAAGTTGGATCCAGTGAGTCTCAGTATGAAAAAGGCATGAAAGCTTTGGCGTCGCTTGGACATGTTCAGCAGGTGAACGCCATCGAAGAGTACAATAATATGAAAGAAAGACTGAAGGAATATTTACAAAAGTTTGCTGAAAATAAAAAAGTCGTCCGTGAAGAAGACATTAAAGAATTTTTCTCAGGAATGGCGTCTAATAAAAAATCTAAAGTTATTGTACCATCATTTTGTCGCTAATTTTTTTTAAATTATTATTTTTTATTTACATTATTTTTCTCAGTTTTTCATTTTGATATTTACATTTTACTTGGTATTTTTCGATTGTAAATTTAGCATTGTGTAATGTAATAAAAAAAATGAAAGGAAAAAAAATTAATGGTTTTTATAACTGATAGTTTATTATCAATCAGTCGTATACCCTGGATGATTTTTTGCTTGCACAAATTGCTGTGGAAAATTAAAATGATTCCTCAGTAATTGATAATTGGTCATTAGTGATTATCGAACTGAATTAATTAAAATTATTTAAAATGTTTCTGTACGTATAGGCAAAACAACTAATGGCTCGTTGAATTTTGGTTTATCGGCGTAAATAGACCAAGTTCTTTTAACACAATCGAATATTCCAGTTGCTATCGTCTTAACGTAATCATCTGGTCCGAACTCTTGATAAACACGGTACTCGTTATCTGTTTGATCGGTAAGTATTTCTATGACTTCACGGCGAGTTCGAGGTCGCGGATGTCGCAATATTGCTGCCATTCGATGTTCGCTACTTGGTATAATAACACCGTCTACTTCGGGTACTTTTAATCTAAGATATCTGCAATTATTGTTCATAATTAGACAGATGTCGATTTAAAATGAATAAATGTACTTATATATTTAAATAATTAATGTTTACTTATTGCAGTGAAATATATTTTCACCGGGACTAGCAGTAAGAATACTTAGTTGTGATTCATCTGAATCTTTTTCAACTGGACCAACTTCAGCATTGTGAAACATTCTATCGCCTTCTTGTTCTAAAAATGTCATGTTCACTGAAAAACCTTCCGCGGCGCCGTATCCTTTGTTTCTCAGGGTTTGTTGAGCTTGAACGAAATTTTCTACGCCAAGAAGAGCTCGAGCTAGGAAATATCGTGCTAAAATGTTGTTTTGTTTCATTAATATTATTTATATAAATGATAACTAGAAATAAATGAATATTCATGATATTGAGTCATACGAGTTTTTCCTGATCTCAGCGTTTTTGCACTCAGAGTGTTGATACTGAATACTAATCCGTGATAATTATATCCCATTGTGTAACCAGGAAGAAATCCTGCGTATGAGAGAGATGAAAATTTTTCTTTTTTGTATCCAGGTTCGTTTATATCTGCGCAGACTATGTACCAATAATTTAAAGTTTCACTCAAAGCATCTTCGTTGTGCCCTAAAATTTCCTGTAAATAAATAATAATTAAGAGAATAATATTTTTTTTTTTTTAACAATATATTATGATTAAAAATCAGAAATATCAAAAAAATTATCTGTATCTGATAATAATTTATAGAAAAAATACTTTTAAAGAAGGATCCAAAATAAAAATCGCAGTAATACATTTAATTAAGTAATAATTTCAAGTTATTAAAAATTTTTTTTTTTTTTAATTATTAGTTGATGCTTCACATCTCGATATGCTGAATTACTGTCGTGTCTTTTTTATGGTAAATTCATAATGCTATTTTATTTTATGTTTTATTAATTTCTTATTAATGTCATTTTGTATCGATTAAAAAATTGAATTTATTGTCCAATTACCTTTGAAAATCTCTAACAATATTTGTATCTAGTTTTCTTCGTATAGTAAAAATTTAATATCCATTTTTCATAGTATTATTATAAATAGAGTTAAACAAATTAATAAAAAAAAAAAAAATTCTCTTTTGCAATTTTTTACAATTAAATATTCAAATTTTTCTATTTATCTTAAATGACATTTAAAATAAAATAAATTATTCTTTAACACTAATATAATATTAAATTAATGCTTTTTAAAACATTTAGTATTTGATAGATAAATGTCCTTGAATTAATACAGGTTAAAATTTTTATTTGTATTACATTCATTAATAATTATTGCGTTACTATTTAGACAGACATGATAACTAATGTACGGATTAAACATTCATTTACTCGCAATATTTGTTAAGAAAAGTTATTGAGCAACTTAAATTTTATAACAATTAAAAATAAATAATTAACAATTAAATGCGTTATTTTTTGTAATCAGTAATCACTTAAATATCCTCGAATCATAGATTTAAATTATTTGCTAAAAACTTGTTCCGTTATGTAATAACAAACTAAATTTAACACAAAAATTCATACATTTATTCAATATTACAAATCGCTTCGAAAATAATGTAGGCCGAACATTAATTTATTTTTTTTTAATTCAATTTCAATTACACAATATTATTCCTAGTATGCAAATATAAATTTCAGGTATGCCATTTTATCGCATTTTTTCAAACATCTAAATTATTACGACTTACTCACTAAAATTTCCTACAATTATATAACTATTAATAAAAAAAAAAAAAAAAAAAAAAAAAAAATAATTATACCTGTCCAGGATAATTGCAGACAATAGATGAGCATCCAACAGGCTGTTTAGTACTCGCCATTTCTCCGTTAACGACATTGGGAACAATATCATCGAGATGCATAAGAAATAGCTGAAAAATAAATAATTACAATAATCATAATTGTCACAATTGATAAACCGTGACCACTATCAAGGTTGAGTAATAAAAAAAAAATAATAATTAGATGTCAGATAAGTATCTGTGTAAAGTCAAGATATGTCTACACGTGGCAATCTTACTCATTAGTCATTATATTTAACATCTTATTGGAATAAATATAGCTTTGAATTACTATATTTATGAAAATCATATCATAACTCATAACTAATTGCGGTCGCTCTTTGGGAAGACAACTAAATTTGATTATGAGATATTATACTTTATTTTTATTGTTATTATTATTATTATTATTATGGTAATAAAAAATAATGAAACATGAAATCGTACCTTGTAAAATGGTACATTTGCACCGGCAGCTGTACCTTCAATTTCTCGTACATATTGCGGAAATTGTTTTTTAACGCACTCTAATGTTTCATCGTAGACTTTTCTTCCTTCTTCAGTGCTGTACGCCGCCAAATATGTCTCGTTTAGCGGTTTGTAGCAATCTACAAACTCGTTTATTATTTTAGCAAAGGTACGACCCTGAAAGTATTTTAGAAAAAATGTTATTACATTTATTGTTAATGAAATAGATAATATATGGCGAAATAAAATAAATAAGTTAAAACAGGTTGTCGTGAATAAATAATGTTTAGAACGGTGGAACATACACACTCGGAGTATGATTTTAATCTGAGTGTCAATAGTCAATAAAGTAACTGGACAATGACAATATAATGTTATAATATAATATATAAATTAAAAAAGTACAGTGTTTAAGGGTGTATTAATTATCGATTGAAATAATTTATCGTGATCGTTGACGTGCTGAATTTATTATTTATCCGTCTGTTTTTTATTTTAATTGACCAATGAATTATTTTACAATTCAATCGTTATGTAATAACTTATTAGGTGAAATAGGTGATTATTCTAAACTATGTATTGATAAAGATAACAATATAAGTCTGATATTTTTTAGTGAATTTATTAAAGATAAAATTTATTTTATTCAGAATTTAAAAAACAATTTATTTGTTCTGCTCCACTGTTTACGCAATGAATATTTTATTTTCTTCGGTGGATTAATTAAAAATATTTAATCCTTGTAAATTTTATTATTTAAAGTATATAAATTTTAAAAAATTATCGAGGTGATAATATGATTTAAATCTTTTTGTGAAGATAAATATGTTTTTTCACTTTATGTTGTTTTATAATGTTTTTATTACTGTGTGTATTAAAAAAATACTAACTTTTATAATTTATACAGTTATATGTATCTTTATGAAATGAATACATATCAGGTTTGTTACAGATGAAATTCAAAACTGTGGTTTTATACGTTGCATAGTTTAATTCTATAATGATCAGTAAAAAATAAATTAAAAAAATTATTTGGTTCTATTATTTTTTGGTGTGATCTTTAATTTTCTCAACTTATAATTTTAAAAAAGAAGAAATATTATAAATATACCTGTGGAAATTCGGTAAATTTTAACGCGCAGTTCTTTGAAATAAAATTATTTGTGTTTTATCGATTTTAGATATTTATAATAATTGTATATTGTTATTGTAATAAGTAAAAAAAGAAAAATAAACTATAGTTTAGCTCATTAAAAAAAAACTACAAAATTATTTCTAGATAAAAAAATTGAACTGTCAAATAATTAATGATCCCCAGTAAGATGTAAATAAGTGTATTGAAACCGAGTAAAAATCACACTTGGAATTTTTAATTTTTAAGATGACCTCAAATTTTTTACCCAAAATCTACATTATTTTTAAGTTTTGAAGTATATAATAAATTATAAGGAAAACTTTTTGTAAGAAATAAAATTTCAAATAAAAAAAGTCCTTATTAATTTGATTATTTCTCCCAAACTTAACACAAAATTTCAATTTAAAATCACAATTGACAATTATTTGCTCACAAAATATGTAATTTTAGATATTATACCGAAATTTCACACCAAAAACTCACAATAAATCAATTCCGTAAAACTTTTAAAACTATTTTCACAACCAAAACTTTTTAAGGATCTTATCAAATTTTTTCTCATAGTAGGCGTGTGTAGCATCAAATAAATTAAAAGTATGTAATACTTTAACAAAAGTTTTTTAAAGTTTAAAAAAAAAAAATGAATTCTGGAAAATTAACTTACAATATCAAAACCAATTTCAAAATGAGTTCCTCGAGTATAAATTATTGGAACAGCATTTCTTCTTCCAATATCTTTCTTAAAGTCACACGAATCGTTATTACATTTTATAATTGTTGCCATTTTTTAATTAAACAAATATTTTACAAAATATGCCTAGCAATGTTTATCAGCACAAAAAATAAAACTTCTAGTATCGAGATAGTTGTTGATAAATACTCGTTTGTAAATAAAGTGAGTGAAAATTTTTCTGAACTTCTGAAACTTGATAGTCAAAGTAAGTCAATAACAGTTTATGTTTATGTTACTGATAATGATAAGTAACAAGGCTTTGGTGCTTAGATACTAATTAAAAGTTAACCGATATAATGTTTTAAACTAGTTAAGAAAAATAAACATAGATAAAAATTTGAATTTACGAGTTAAAGTTATTTTGAAACAAGAACAAAAATAAGCAAAATTAATTTAGAAAAATAAATAACTAAGTTAAGATTTAATAATGACGAAGGTTCAAACAAGACTGAGATCTTAAAGCGTTGGAACCATTTACGTGAATGGACGGAGGACACTAATATGCCTAAGCTCTTATCGACTTACTCCCTGCAAAAGCAATTCAACTGGCCCGAGTACGAGAACGAGTACGAGTACAAGACACGGCTTCTATTCGTTGTGCTGAAGTAACTATTGTCATTTATAATCTTAATGCAATTACAACCTTGACTCGAGATGTTTGATTGTTGATTTGCCTCCCAAGGATTATATGTTTATAAAGTTTAAATTATCTAATGTAATAAAACTTGTGACGTAGTTGCTCGATGTCATTGTTGATGAAGTCATAAATCTCTTTTGAATTTTTATCCAATTTTATTTGTTTCTTATTTTCTTATACTATTACCAACTAAATTACGTAACTTTTATTCAATATATTGCATTAATCAGTTCGATTCCATATATAGCATTTGTATGGAATTAGTCACCTTGATTAGTCGATTATTTATTGATAAAATCTCTTTGTTTGATACTCTAGTGACAGTTGATAAAGATCGGCAATCTACAGCAAGCATCAGCGTGTAGATCATTACTTATTATTATTCACTTTTTGCTACACTTTTACTATTGTCTGACTTTACTGAGCTTTTACCACTGCTGATAAAACCTTTATCGATCATTTGTAGAATTTTTCATTACAAGGTTCATTATAAAATATATTCTTCAATTTAAATGATTTTAAATTATATAAAATAATTATTGTAATACATATAATGTTTTGAAAAAAAATTTTAATTTTATAAATTAAATTTCGAATAAAACAAATTCACAAATTTATATTTTGCATTAAAAACAAATATTGATATTTCAATATTTTTAAAAATATGATTTAAGTAATAATAGTCGTCAAAATTTTTTATTAAAATTAGAGGAACTGTAATAAATAATGATTTGGAGTTTTTTTTATCAATACATCTGGATCTATATTTTATTTTGAATTTATTATAATGCTTTACAATAATTGATAGAAATTTTTTATTCATTAGTAAAAAAATAAAACACTGTAAAAAGTGTAGATCAAATCATCTAATCATCATATCAAGGACCATTAATATTTTAGAGCGTGACCATGTGATGTCTCATTTTATGATAATTTAGTGAACGTAAAAAAAATTTTCAATACTTCCGGAAGTTTTATGTTAATTTATATTAACTTCTTCTATTAAAAATTAAATTATCGCTTTTTTCTTGAGGAAGTTATAAAGAAAAAAATATGATTGAAGATAAAAATTTTATAGTTCTTTACCAGTATTTTTATTATTAGGTCTGTAGGAGTTCAAATTTAAAATCCCTCTTTTTGAATTGTGTTTATTATTGTTTTTTACATCTAACAGAAAAAAATATACAAACTAGAGTGATGTCATTGAATTTAAATATTTCTTTTATATTGTTAGCTAAGAATTTTTCACTTTTGTAAAAATTTATTATAAAACTTTTTAAGAATAATCTGAAATTAAATAATCTGAAAAAGTATTGTTAAGAAATTTTTTTTGATATTTTCTTTTACCTTTTTTTTTTTTTTTTTTTTTTTTTTTTTTATTATTAAAAAGTTGATTTTTTAATTCATTTCAAAAATGTACTTTTGGTCCCTAGTGATAATTTAAAAAAATTTTTAATGAAGAAATAACAAGGTTGAATGAAGAAAATAATTACGATTATGGGAAACTTAAATAACTGTTTTTAAATTAAAATTCATTAAGCATAGAAATTAAAGTTAAGTACGGACATGAAACGATTGAAAGCTATACAAAATACTTCATTAATCTTTCACTACATAAAATTTTTCTAAAATTGCGTCAAGAGTTTTTGCAATAGTATAAATCCGAAGAGATCAAATTGAAATAGATATCATGAGTTAACTAAGTCAACGGTGAAATTGAATCATAAAATATAATGTTCGTTTGCAATTATTGAATTAATTAATAGTTATTTAGTAGAGCAATAACTTTTAATGAATCGCATGAAGAAATATTAAACAAAAATAAATAAAATCAAACGTAAATAATTAATTATATAGTATAAGTAATTTGTTATTTAAGCGCAATTATAAATACCATTGAACAGCTGCAAAATCATCAGCATAAATTATAAATATCATTAGTAATCATCACTTAATACTATTAATATATTTATTAAGTTAGAAGTTTTCAAAACTACGGTAAGAAATTATTTGGCTTAATAAAATTTTCTTTCTCACGCCAACATTTCACAATTCGCATGGAAAAATGTATCCAAGTGAAGAGAGAGAATGCATATGTTAGAATTATGCATATATCACATAGGCTACCTTGGAGATAATTGTACGTGATTGGCCATATTTAGTAGTTGCAGAAATATCTCATAAAATATATATTAAATTTAATGTAATTAATATGAGGTATTTACATTTAGTAATTTATAAGGACATTGGCATAATTATGTTGATATTATACAGGTTAATTAGGGATATATAATCAAAGTGATGATGATGATGATGATAATTAATGATAAATAAAAATTAGTTACTTGATCAATTAAAGATTAATATTCTACACACTGCAATTTTTTTAATGTTGAATAAATTAACATTTATAGAAACTCTATAAATGCTTATTCAAATGTCTTTGATTGTGCCTAAATAAATTTATATTTATATTATTAAAAATTAAATATGATTTTATCTAGACTACTTATTAACTTGTCATTACGGTAATATAATTAACCGGTAAATAAAATTTTATAATAAGGTGATAATTATTGTTTTCATCAAAATTGTTCGACACATTTTATGACTTGATAACTTTATAAGCAAAAGTCATACTTAAAAAAAGAAATACATAATGCTAAATAAGGTTTCAAAGTAAAACTTAATTCACTAAGGTTAAACGAATTGGGACAATTCTTTGTGAGGCTTCGTAGTAAGTAGCTCAACTTCTGTTGTTTTTTGATCACTTAATTTTATAATTAGATTATATTAATTAATAATATACTATGGATAAAAAAATTAATTATCATTAAAAAGAATAATGTATATTTCAAGCAATATCTAATAAAAACATAATTGTTTTTTTATAAGACGATAATAATAATAGTAAAAATTTATAAGCAGGCCTTTAAAACTTATCCATTCCCATGAAAATAAAAGTAAAAAATTTTAAATTAACAATCAATCGGGACTCCTCCAGTTTTGATCGCAGGAATCACTCCATTCAGAATCTGCAGTACCTGGACAGGAATCTTGTGAAGAATAACGCCAACAACCTATTACTCCATCCCACTGTAACAGAAAAATATTTATTATTGAAGTTGATAAAATAATCGAAGCCTAGAAATAAGCATTTTTTAAATAAAATATTAAATATAATGAAACTTACAGACGCTGATATTATTTCTTGATGATACGGATGCCAACTGACATCTCTAACACATCCTTCATGTCCTTCAAGTGTTCTTACAATATTACCCGTCAAAAGATCATAAACTAAAAAGGAAAAGATAATTATTAAAATTATATAAATACAATCGTAATAGTAATAATAATAATAATAATTATTAAATTTTGAATGAACTAGATTTTCATCAAAGTAATTGCGAAATGTAGACATTGACGTTGATAATCACGCGATACTTGATAACTTTATTATAAATATTATGTGAAATTTCAGATTGTTGGCTTTGAAGCAATACGTTAATACTATTCAATTATTTTTATGAGATAATAACATACTTAAGGTTTTAATTTCACTTGATCAATCAATTGATGCAGCAAATATTTAATAGACTAATCCGAAGTAATTTTAATTAATAATAAATTATTCAGCAGAAATAAAATTTAATAAATACTTACTGACAATTCTACCGTGTCCACAACCAGTGTAGATATATCTTTGTCCAGTGGTTGCAGCCGGTGAAAAATGACAACGAATCAACGTTTGTACAACCATGTGTCCTCTATATGTCATAATACTCGTATCGCCTTCCAATAATGACGTTGACGTGTAAACTATTTTGTAACATAAGTAATAAAAAAAAATCTAAAACGAAATACTGAACATGTTATTAGTCAACAAGTTGGTGATTATTTCAAGGTTCATGGTTCTCTGTTAATTATTTAAAGTAAAGCATTTATGCTAAACAGAAAGACGACCTAAATAATATATTGCAAGCATAGTTACTGATGACTGTATTTTTAATAGAAACCAACTTTTAGATTTAAATTTAAGTAAATTATTTATAAGAAATGAATTACGTTGCTTGGGTACGTGGGTGTGCCATCGGTAATCCCAATCTTGATTAGCAACAGCTTTCCGGGTATTAACTTCGGCCTCTTTACTTGAGAATGCACGGACGTCCCACAATTTTATTGACTGATCTTTGCTATTCGTTAGCAAATAACGGCCATCACCACGAGGATCAATGAAAGTTATTCCGTCCATGTGTCCAGCGAGTACACCTACCGGATGAGGATTTGCTTCGTTTAACGTTCGTCTGTCCCAAACTTTGCACAGTCCATCATCTCCACCGCTATATAAAATTTGCGAAGTGTTATCAGCAAATGCAACAGCGTTAACGTCATCTGTGTGACCTTTAATCTACAATAAATGTTAATTTATTAGTTTTTATATTTAAAATTAGATTAAATTCATTGATTTATTTTAATTTATAAAAAATTTTATTTAAAAAGTTATAGAAGTTCAACAACTCCGAAATTATTAATACTTTAGAATTAGAATATTCAAATTTTTTCGTTTTCAAAATTTTTAGTAAATTATTACACTGTTTTAATTAAAAGTCAGTTTTTAAGAATGAAAGTTAATTTAATTCAAGATCAAAGTATTTTCAATACTGTTAATAATTTCATAATTATCAGCTCTAAAATTTTTATAATTTATATTTTTTGCAGATACTCTTTCAATCGTAATCTTCTAATTTGATTAAAAAAAAAAAATCAACATACTTTTATGGCTGGTTGATGACACTCGCGATCGTAACAATAAAGACAACCATCGTTAGCAGCACCAAGAATTTCTTTCCCATCGCAGGAAAAAACTAACGAAAAAACGCAAAATCTTCCCAAGTCTGACGGAGCTAACGGCAAAGCTTCTTGAATAGTTGAATCACCATAAATTGAACAAAGATACACTGTGAACACATTACAAAAGTAATAATAATAGTATAGTAGTAATCAATTTAATCAAGATGTCAATTACTTTTAATAAGCCAATTACTTACAAGCGTCAGACCAACTTGAATAAGCGATATAATTCCCATCTGGACTGAACGCAGTATCTAATATGCTCCAAGACACATTTTGCGCAAATATTTTTTTGTATTCATGGAATTTCCCGTCTTGGGTATTGTAAATTCGCAGTAAATTATCTGTAAACAAAGAATAGATTATTAAGTCTACGTGATAATTAGTTTATTAAATAAATAGGCCTTACCTTGACTGGCGGTAACAAGAAGTTTCCCATCAGAAGAATATGATCCACAAAATGCGCGGCTTTTGTATTTAGCTACAGGTATCATACGATTAGGTAAAAAATGATTATTTATTCGGCATTTTTGACCTGGATTAAATGTAGGACCTATTTCACGTTTTTGTATCATACATGTTACTGATTTGTTATTAACACGTTCAACTTCTGGATCGATAAAACCGCTTGCACGCTTTGTTGATAAATTTATTTCATTGTTCTGTTGACATAAAATAGTAATCGTTATTTAATTATTTCATTAGATATTAAGTGATTAAATTTATTAGAATTTCTTTTCTAATACGGTTTTCCTGATTAAATAATTATTTAAAATTAAAGTCGGTAGTGTAATAAGAGGACAGATTTTTTTGAAAAACAACATTTAAAATATACTATAAAAACATAAATTTTTTATGATTATAAGAATTTAGAATTTTTTATAGTGAATTCTAATTGTAATAAAATTATAAATCTTGATGATAGTGTTACGTTTTCGTTAAATTAAAACTATTATTTAAATTTTATTTAAGAGTAATAAATGCTTCGCTGGTGATAAATAAAATTAATTATCAGCAAAGTATCGGAAATCGCTTTTGATAAGAGAGTCGCCGGGTTCTAGTCTAAACATCGTGAGAGCTAGACTTTAATGATTTCTTCCGAGACGGACTGACTCCACCAAAATTCTTAAGTTAGCAGTATAGTTAATTTGTTGAATTAAATGCATTTTATTTTACTGAAATCCTTTTACAAAATTAAGTTAAAATTAGGAGAGAGCCGTGTGACGGGCCCAAGTGGGATTTATTTACACCTTAATGAGGCCAACCTATGATGAAAACAAATTAAAGACGTTTATTGGAAATAATGAAATTTCCAAAACGTCACATTGGTGCTTCGACCAGGATGTTGCAGCTAAAATTAAAAATACTGCTGAGATTTTTAAAATAACTTTAATTGTAAAAAACTGATACGTATATTTAAGGAGTTTCGAAATAATTCTTATGAATTTGTGAATATTTCAAGAAGGTGACTATAAATTTTAAAACTGAACTTGAAAAAAGAAATTTCTATGGTATTAGTAATATTGTGTGAAATATTGCTACCGTTGAATCATCAAAAATCATCAAAACTTCACTGAAATAAATTGTTTTCAATTATTTTGTTTAATCATAAAATATGAGAGTACCTGAAATTACATTATATTAAACTTTGCACGTCACCATACATTATTATACGGTATCTTTCAAAACCGCTAACAGCGATGTTCTTACGTTCGCATTTAGGCAACGTATTACTTCTTATTCTTTAGTTTTCCTCACGGCGTAATAATATTTAAATCCACACAACATTTATTCATTTCAATACTTTTTGTTAGTCATAGAATAAGACTAAGAAAATCCTATTTTAAATTATGTTATAAAATCAATCAAAGAATAAGACTAAGAAAATCCTATTTTAAATTATGTTATAAAATCAATCAAAGAATAAACAGGATAATTATCATTATCGATCTACAATATCAGTAGTAGAATTTAAAAGTGAATAATCCATTTGTTAAGTTGAAGTGTAACTTTGTAATAACAACTAAACAATCTAAAGTGACCAAAGTTTAGGCAGAAAAATTTGTGTTAATTACTGAAACGAAAACTGAACTTTCTCCCAAGGCATAGCAACTTATATTAGACTAATGATAATAATTTAATAATAATAATAATAATACTGAAATTAACAGACATCTGTCTATTTTTTTTTTTTTACAACAACTGTATTATGAAAACTTTTATACAAGTGCAAATTTAAAAAATATATTTCTTTTTACAATCGATTTGTAGTAAGAGTAAAAAATTTGCAGATGTCTGATGATTTCAGTATTATTTAATAATGAGATTTGACCGAAAACATGATGCTGAAATCATCAGACATCTGAAAATTTTTTATTTTTATTATAAAGCAATTATAAAAAAAAAATAACATTATTGGTATGTATAATAATTTCTAAAAATTTGCACTTTTAATTCTTTTAAATTTATAGACGTCGAATTTTTTTTATAATTATTTTAATTATCATGAAATTCAAAAAATTAACTGTTGTTTGTTAATTAGACAATAATCGAAAAACTGTATTAACAAAAAATATGAGTAGAAATATTGATAATACTGAAGTTAGCCGTCAGCTGTCAATTTTAAAAATTTTTATAAAAAATCAGTTACTGTAAAAAAATGCTTCTAAAAATTTTCACTTGTAATTTTTATTAATTTTCACATGTGAAATTTTTTAATTAAATTTTTTTTATAATAATTCAATTGCCATAAAATTCTAAGAATATTTTTTATGTCTGTAAACTTCAGTTTCATAAATATTGAAGAGCAATTGTAAATTTACTTCAAGAGTTGTTGTACTCAAGGGAGTAGCAGCTATTTTAGGTAAAGTATTGGAAGATGTTGCTGATGCCTCATCGCGCTGAATATCATCAATTCCGGTTCTATCCCAACCCCCTCTGAAAATAAAAATAAAATAATTATCATTATTATGAGCATCAAATTATAAACGAATGTAATTCATTGATATAAAATAAATGATTGAAAAAAAAATATTGACCTTTGTATAAGTAACTGTAATGTCCTTAATATACTCATGTGTGGTCTAGATGTTAAATCCATCATTCAATGACAGGCAAAATAATGTTGTTAATACAATCTAGATACTTGAGCGTTGACAATTATCATTAACTATTGCGACATGTTCGTACATTAATGTTATACACTAACACGTAATGATAAATGTTTATTATTAAATTTTTATGCAAGTATTTATATTTAATTATTATTTATGTTTATCAAGTTTTCAAGTATGTAATTATTATATTTTTAATGAACTAATCTATGTAGTACGAATAAAATAGTAGAATGAATAAAATGTATATTAGTACAAAACCGATTGTATATTATTGTCTAAGAACACCGCGATAAAATAAAATTTTTAATTCTTTTTTCACTTGACGTTGATATGATAATAAACAAGAAGTACCAGCTGATAACTACTGACTTATTACTATGACGTATGACGTATTTGCAAAAAAAAAAAAAACAAAAAGTACACAACTGGTAATTTTATGAGAGAAATGTAAAAATCTACCTTACCATCAGTTGTACACATTTTTTTTAACGCATTCTGCATTTCGAAATGCTAACTTGCCGATTTAATTTTTTACACTTGAAATTTGAAATTTCGCGCCTAGTTCTAAACAACAAAATCCCGAAATTGAGAAACCTAATAACTTTCAAAATTTTTCAAGCAAGTTAATTATAGCAAGAAAAATTTATTCAAAAAATTTCATCTTTATTACTATTTTATTAAAAAAAATTACGATAGTAGAGTAGTAAAAATTTCTTCAATTTTCTTTTCGTGTAGTTTATTTTTCAAGAAAAATCAAAAATTTGTCAAGTATCTGCTAATTTCAGTGTAATAAAATGAGGAATTAGGTGTCATATACTTTTTACTTTATTTTTTTGATAATAATTTCCAGGCTAACTTGAATTCATTTATGAATTTTTAATTGCAGAAGGATAATACAAGGCGCAGAATGAATACGACCGTAATATGTTCCAAACAAGACAAAGTTTGTAACTAAATTCGTAGTTGTAAACAATAGGTACAAATGCGAATTTTTTTGAATCACGTTTTTAGAATTTTTTTTCAATCTCAAAACCAGAAAATGGTTCACTTTCAATCATATGATGTTCAACAATGTTTTTCTAATCATTTTCAGGCTTAAAATAAGAAAAAAATAAAAAAAGTTTTTATTCACCTTTGACTGTAAATAAAAAGTTTTTGTAACTCTCGCAACTAAAAGAGCGTATTTTTTACATTTTTAAATAAAGATCTACTTGTTTGGCTTTAAAAAAATTTATCAATTTTTTGGCTCATAATAAATTTATTCAACGATTGAAAAAAATTTTTTAAAATAACTAAAATGTTCTTTTGGTTTCGCAGTGTTGAAATAGCATTCACAATTTTATATTTATACATTGATAAAAAAATTGAAATGATTTGAAAAAATAAACCTTGAAGGAAGAAAATCATTTTGAAGAATTTAATTATTGTATTGAATCAAAGCATAAAAATTATTGAATTAATAAAAATTTATTGATTACATACTCGAAAACTTTTCGGCTTCATTCAAGATAATCTAGAAATTTGTGAAACTGTTTTTCTTTTAAACACTGCTTATTCATAATATGACAAATACAATTTATTTAGTTAATAATTATCATTCAATATGACAAAATCATTTTACCGGAATAAGTGCAGTTAAGCTTCCGTAAAGAAAAAAAAACGTCAAATCCTCAGAATCTACTCTTCTAAGAACGAGAGTTTTCAAAGAATCCGCTCCAATGCATCAGCAGAAAAAATTGGATACCTTTTTTACTCTCATATATCCTGTGGTGCTTTGAAAAATGATTAGAGTAAAGCAACCTTCAAAAGGAAAGATATGAAAATAAATGTTCGTTTAGTTACACTTTTTATCTCTGCATTCGTTCAATAAAATTTCAGAATGACCTGAAATCTTTGCCACTTTCCTTTGATTTTGTTTTCTTTCGAATTTCTGCTAATTTATCGGGAAAGCATGATCTGGGTGACTCAGCTTTAAAAATAGTTTTTTTTTTTTTTGGCGAAAAAGATCTTAGACTAGAAAATTAATGCTTTAAGGTGTGTATTTTTTCTTTGTTGATAATGTTTGTAAGATTTTTACGGTGTTAAAATTATTTAAAAACGACAAAAAAATTTTTTTGGTCCATTGATTTTTGTCAGTGTAAAGCCAAGATATTTTGATGTGAAACATCTATAGGCTCACTAGTAAACCGAATTGTTGGCGTGGCGACGCTCGCCGTGGCGACGGGTCGCCACGCTATACTAAGGTCACGAAGGCTAGATAGAAGAATTTATGATAAAAATTATAAATAATTTCATTGTGATGAGAGGTCATTTTTTGACCGATTTTTTTAATAGAAATGTAAACAATCGTCAAATAATGACTAAACGTATGCGAAAATTTGCGAAAAAATAATATTTGTATGTCATTCTGTACTTATCTTTAATTAAACTTAATTGCTGTTAGCTTCAATGTTCGTATTAATAATTTCCATATGAATAAAAATAAATATTTATTTATATTTATAATAAATATTTTTTCTATCTAAAGTTATTCGCATATCTTTTTTAACACAAAAACTTCTATTTAAAAACTCAAAAAAGTAAACATTTTGTAAACTTGCAAATGAAATAATTAATTTATCATTTCTATTTCTAATAATTGCTATTCTCTTTAAGATATAATTTTTAATTTATTGCGTCAACGATATTTATTTGAAATGTGATTATTTCAATTCAGTTTTTAAAAATCGTTCTTCCCAAGCGTCACACGAAAAAACTGTTGACTTTTGGTGAATTGTATTTAACAAAAAGTCAAAAAGTAATAATTATCAACTTAACTTAAACAAAATGTACCTGAAGTTCCGAACGTTCATTTATGAACGAAAATCAAAAAAAAATTTTTTTTGCTCCTGAAACTGAAAATGGTTTTTCAGTTTCGAATAGAGACAGTGAGCCCTAAAAATGATATATTAGCCCCTCAAAACACAAAAACCACCCCTCCAGCCACCCCAAAAACTTACACTTGGAAAAAAAAAATTTAAGATAAAATCCTTCCAAGGGCCCTTTGAAGCTGGCGATTTTTGTAGGACTCCCACAATAATATTGTGTGGGGTATTGTGGAGTCCTACAAAAATCGCCAGCTTCAAAGGGCCCTTGGAAGGATTTTATCTTAAATTTTTTTTCCAAGTGTAAGTTTTTGGGGTGGCTGGAGGGGTGGTTTTTGTGTTTTGAGGAGCTAATATATCATTTTTAGGGCTCACTGTCTCTATTCGAAACTGAAAAACCATTTTCAGTTTCAGGAGCAAAAAAAATTTTTTTTTGATTTTCGTTCATAAATGAACGTTCGGAACTTCAGGTACATTAAACAAAATATTACCAAAAAAAATTTTGTGCCGCTAGGGTTATCGTGGTTTTAAAAAAATTTTTAGAAAATATAGATTTTATTAGAATTTTAAATTTATAGGGGACCTCTGCAGCAGTAGCGCGCTCTGATGTCTGTATCCAATTTTCAGGCCGTGACATTACTACAGCGAGCGTCCTCCTTCTATCTAGCCTTCGTGACTAAGGTATACAAATATATATATTCTGTGTAGTAGAGTGTACGGTGTGGCGACGGGTCGCCACGCTGTACTGAGGTATATATATATGTAGTAGAGTGTACGGTGGGGCTTCTCACTCAGTTCAACGTTGTTGTTTACTACGGTACACATAACCTGCGTTTTATTTAATTTTGATGTGAAACATTTTTATTTTAATTTTTGACAATAAAATATGTGTGATAGTGATAACTCAGAAGATCAAAGTGATCAACCTTGTGCAAAGAAAGTCAGACTACACTATGGCATACTACCAAGTCATCAGTAAGTAGATTGTATTTTTCAAGTGTCCATAAATGTAATTATTATTTTTTTATATATTATTATATATTTTGTTGCTAGTGTATAGGCTTCTTATGCCCCTTTACATCCCAAGCCTTTCTCAACATTAATGATTCGCTTTGGTTATCTGCACTTGAAGGTTCGTTCGTGGGGCCGTTCCACCTCTTATTCGCGCGGGAGCTACCGCTTCGACCGCTTGTTGCGTTTAAGGAGAGGAACGGAGCCATCAGGGACGACTGCACTTATATTTGCGGCTGTGGCCCGACTTGTGCTTTCTGTACCGTATTCAACCGTAACCAATTTGGCGCCGAATATTAATTTTTTTTCAAAAACTAAATGTCAAAAAATTGCTCATGAATTGCTTTTCCGATATAAACAATTGCTCCGCTGCTATAATTAAGAATTAATTAGTTAATCGTAATTAAAAAATCAAAATTTAATTCCCGATTATCTCTAATTGTGAGGACTAATGTTAATTGTAATAAGTGCCAAAAAATTGCTCATCCTTTTTTCTATTGGGAATGATAATTATTTTGTGCGTAAAATCGTTTTTAATTAATTTATACTATAAATAATTATATGGCACCTTTAAACCTGCAAATGACAATTGTGACGTCATCGTCGCGACAATTTGATTGTCGTTCTTATGAGGACAAGCTACAGTGATGTATTAAGTTACATGCGTATATGTCCATGTAAACAAACTTTTTATGGTTATTCTATTTAGGCTCAATATTTAATTATGAAATAATAATTATTTTTATGATGCTGAAATTATTGGATTATTGAATTACAGGGCAGTGTTTTAGACGCATTAAAAGTCGAATCATCCCTTTACTGCAGGTCGTATTCACAAAACTCTGTCCAAAAATCTACTTTTACTAATGTATTTTTAAGCTTAGACATAAGTCATTTTTATATACCTTCGACTTCTCTCTCAAAACTTCATAATAATCAACGTTTAACCGAAAACTTATGTAGTATTCCAACAAAATTAAAGATTATTATTTGGTGTAGTAGAGTTTGTCCCACCAGTATATTTGAATAAAGTCGGTCATTATGGTAGTTTTCCAATTACGAGAGCACAATGCGACTCATTGCCGCACGGTGCCGCATTAGCACAAGTTTAA